TCATATGGAACGGTTGGAGAAGATAATGAGCAGGCTCATTAAGCCTAACTCAACTTCTGCTCGGCCTGCCCCTGCGTCGTTTCCACTCTTACCTGCTCCAGGATTTGCCCCTCAGTTTCCCCAGTTTGCTAATCCAGCAGGAAAGATCGAATGGTTCAACTGCAAACAGCCCGGGCATTTTGCTCGAGACTGTTCGCAGTCGAAACGTAATCAGCCCCCCCCTGCTGCGGCCCCCGTCGCCCTCAATCAAGGCCGAGTGGCCGCTCTGATGGATACGGACCCAGGAAAAGAACTCGTGGCATACGCCCCGGAGCAGCCTTCCCTCTCGACGACAATGGCGTCGACATCAGGAGCTTCCTCCTCTGACGTTGCTGACATAGTCGACCCCCTTGAGTATCTTCATCTCGCCGGAATGATCGGAGCGATCCGGTCGGCCCAGGATGATCTCGAATGGGTCGATCGCGAATCCAATCCCGGACCGCAGTTTCGGACATGAGATATTGATGTGTTAAAAACGCTCAAATAATTAGATATTCGTGTACCTATCCCAGTAGGACATCTGCTCACCATATCTGAAGCGGCGAACGATAAACTTCTACAACATTGCCAGAAGAATCAAAAGCGCTTCACCTATCAGCGCATACAGTGGATGTTGAAGAAGAAGGAAGGAGGTGACGAAGTTGCACCCCTCGAGCCAGATACAAAAGAACCTGAACCCGAAGCTGCACGCGTAGCCGCCATCTCTTTAGCAGAAAAAGGATCACTTGGTACGAGCTCGACCAATACTATGAAAAAGTGCGGAATGTGACTGCGAAGTTTGGGGTAAGCCGTTTAACGCCCTCATCAACACAGGGTCTTCTGCAGTAGCTATATCGTTAGATACTGTCAAAAAGACGGGACGACTTGGATCCATTCTTCATCAATCTGGCAAAGACAACTATGTCTCTGCCGACGAGGAGGCCATGGATATCGTAGGTATTATCGAGAACGTGGCTGTAAAAGTAGGACGAGTACACGTCCTTGTCAACGCGCTCGTAATAGATGTACGCTCTTATTCTGTGTTATTGGGATTACCTTGGGCAATGGCGGTAGGCGCACGGCTGCATTTCGATTCGAAGCAACTGGTGCTCACACAAACTGGGGAAAAACCTCAGAGTGTTCCCTTGCGGGTTTTCACCCGAACGATAAAACTGGTTCCCAACTCACCCCAAATAGGGATGATCCGAGGCATTGATCCTGAGGAGTGCTTCCCCTCGCGCCTCGGGGAGGGAATCATGGAACGGGAATACGAAGAAGAGATGCCCAGTAAAGAGGAATGGAAGCATCTGGTCGAACTTTTCGAACACGAAACCCCCGAGGAATTTCCAGTGTGCCCCAACACCGCTCGAAGCTTCCCACGTGGATTCTGAAGACAGTACATGCACGCCTCTAACAACCCAGGTCAGTCCTTCCGTCCTCCTCGGGGAACCCATATTACAAGTCTCCGATGTGGCTGATGATTTGGAACCCCCTTGCACCTTGTACGAAGGAGCTCTTTTCTTACGAATGCGTTATCAGCAAAGAGAACCGTATTTGGACGTTTCTGTTTTCCCACCCCGATCATTGCTAACAACAAGAGCCATCATCGCCTTGATTAAACAAAACGCGGAAGCACCGGTAAGTGATGTGCCGAATCTAATGAATCTAACTGTGAAACCGACTTCGGTTGATTCAGAGATTGACGCTGAAACTAAACAAACGGAGATGATCAGCCCCGTTGAGTCCCAGATGATAGCAACTGTCTTTTCTGTTCGCACCAGTAGTTCCATTTTCTCTAGTGTCCATGAGCGGCGGGAACAACTGGTTGACTGGATCGATATGCCCCTTAATATGTCCGGGGAATCAGCGATCCCCCTCCCGAGTCACGTTCCCGCGGAATTTCGGAAGTCGCTAATCTGTGTATTGAATGGTTACGCAGATGTGCTGAGCATGCATGACAATGATATTGGGTTAACTAATGTAATTGAACATGCCATTCTCACGRGAAATCATCCACCCATTAGCTGCGCTCCCTACCGATACTCGCCAGCTCAACGAGCGGCCGCCTTTCAGCGGATTAAGGAATTCGAAGCTAATGGATGGATCGAACCCGCTATAGGACCGTGGTCTTTTCCTATAGTGATAGTACCCAAGAAGGCTGGGGGGATTCACATTTGCATTGATTATCGAAAGCTGAATAACATCACGATTAAAGATGTGTATCCCCTCTCCCGAATTGATGAGTTATTTGATGCGATTGAGAGTGCTCGATTTTTCAGCAAATTTGATGTTCGCCATGGGTTCCATCATCTTTTTGTTCGAGAGGAAGATCGACCAAAAACAGCGTTCGTGCTTTTCGAGGGCATGTGGCAATGGATTCGATGTCCGATGGGTATCTGCAATGCCCCTGCGACCTTTCAGCGGGCCATGAACATGGGTTTTCAGAACTTCGTACGGAAGACTCGTTTGGCGCAGAGTATCATCAACTACTGCGTGATCGTGTACATGGATGACATCATGGTCTATTTGAGTTCCTACGAGGGACACGTGCAACACATCGAATGGGCACTGCATGCGTTACGAGATGCAGGCTTCAAGGTGGCGCTGGAGAAATGTCAGTTTTTTCTCACCACTATTTCCTTCCTGGGGCACGTGGTGACAGACAAGGGACTCCAACCGGAACCGCAGAAGGTGGCAGCTGCCAGGGACGCGCCAGTGCCTACCACTATCACGCAAGTTCGCGCCTGGGCCTAGCTTCGTATTACCGAAGATTTATCAAGGGCTTCGCGGCAATTGCGTGACCCCTCACAAATCTCCTGCGCAAGGATCAGCCGTTGATCTGGACGCCGGAGTGCGATCAAGCGTTTTTCAAACTCAAAGCTGCCCTCATTTCGGCTCCGGTCCTTATAAGACCGGATTCCGAAAAGCCTTTTGTTCTAATCACCGACTGGCGGCCAGAGGCGATTTCGGCGATCCTTGCCCAGGTGGGACCAAGCGGAATTGAGAGAGTGATAGAATATGCGTCCAAATCAGTACCCGCCTGCGAACGCAACTACGCCGCTCCAACGGGAGAATGCTATGCGGCTCTCTGGGAATCAGTCGCTTTCGTGCTTACCTGTACGAACGAAAATTCACCCTGGTAACTGATCACGAGCCCCTGTTGGCTCTGAAGAAATTGAAGGATTACTTGGGCATGATCGGGCGATGGGCAACGGTGCTGCAGAGCATGGACTTTGACATCCGTCATCGAAAGTACGAAAGACATGGGAACGCGGATGGATTGACACGATTGCACCGGCCAGAGAAAGTTCTGAAGAGTGAGGAGGTGATTCCGTCGAACGAACCAAAACAGGAGATCGGACCTCGATACGGCCAAGTGAAGATCCTGTCGAAGTAGTAAGTGACACGCAGACTAATTCAGTCCCGTCTCTTCCCCTCTGTCATCATGACTACCCCGCCTGCCTTCACAACCCCCTCTTCTCCCACTAATTCTGCCCCTCTTACTTCCTCAGCTTTCTTTGCCACCCTCCCCGATGAATTCTGTTATTTCTGCACGTGCATTGCACGGGTTTATGGGGTCGACTGTCATCCTTTTGAAACTGGGTTTGTCGATTGGGTAGAATGTGCCACGTGTGTCACCCGTGCGCACGGGGCCTGCATACGATATCGGACAAGTAACAAGGAATGGAGGTGCCCCCTATGTAGAACGAACAAACTCCCCACGGAGGTTCGATTCGAGGCTGCCCGTACGGACGGCCCTGAATACGACGAAAAATACCGACGAGCGGAGGTTTGGACAGATAAAATTTTATTGGCAAAATTAGCGGGGTTATCATTGGGCCACCTCACCAAACGCGACAGACGTAGGGCGACCGAGAGATCTCGGGACTATCGATGGATCAACGATCATTTGGAAAAACGTAAAACTGACGGATCGGGTTCGTGGCTAACAGTTCCCCATCCCTTCCAGAGATACGATTGGACCCGATCTGCTCACGAGGAACAGGCCGCTCATTTCTCGATACGTGTCACGGAGGCAACTGTAGAACTGATGGTTCTGGTCCAATATACGAGATGATGTCAAATACATTGTCGCTAACTGTCTGATCTGTGCCGCTGATCACGCCCCTATACGGGGACCAAACACAATCGTATCAACGGAAGCAGAGCGTCCCTTCCAGCGAGTCAGTATGGACACGACAGATATTGACGTGCCCCCTGGCCCAAACCGCTGTGAATATTCTATTTTACTAGTATTAATTGACCACTTTTCCAAGTATATCGAAGTCTATCCCTGTAAGACCCGAAGGGCCGCAGAAATAGCCACGTACATCGAACGGTTCCTCTATACCCATCTAGATACGGAAGAAATTATATCCGACAATGAATCTGAATTTAAAGGTGAGGTAGAAGAACTACTTGCGCGAAGGGGCGTTACGCTCCGACATACGGCACCCCACGTGTCCCAGTCGAACGGGTTGGCCGAGAATGCCAACCGTATGATTAAAACCGCCCTTCGCAGGAACTTAGCGGCACACGACACGCGTCCTTGGCCCAAAATCGTATATCAGATCGTCGGCGTCCACCGAGCCACCCCTCACAAGTCTACGGGGTTCACCCCCTTTCAGCTTCGAACTAATAGCCTACCCTGTGTTGATTACCGGGGTAACTCGAAAATTGCCGAAGCAGGGGGTAGAGACACACGTGCAGCCCTCAGAGCCAAGGCCAAAAGGTACGCCGACTTGATGGAACGGGCCGTTCCGAAGCTAACCCGAAAAAGGCAAAGGATGACCGAACTGGCCTACGGTAGATAAATCCGTAGCTATGAGGCTCGGAACGAGAATGCTGGGCCCCAGTACCAATATAAATTAGGGGACCTAGTGCAGGTACGTAAATGTGCACGCGGCCGGAAACTCGCTCCCAGATTCTCTGGCTGTTTTCGCGTTGTCGAGCTCGGACCCAACGACGCTAACACGGTGCGCATCGCGCCTGAGGCTAGCACCAGTCATGGCTCCGTCCCCATCGTCCGGCATACCTCCTACCTCCGTCTCCTTCCTCCTTCCGATCTTCCTCCCTCTTCTCCTTCGGAAAGCGAGGAAAACAACGGCGATCTAACCCTCTATCCACTTTCTCCCTTCTCCTATCCCTCGTACTCCTCTCCGACCTCGCCATGAGTTTTATCATGGAGCGGGTTCTTGACTTACAGCTGCGGCAGCCACGTGGCAACATCTCGGAAATTCGGCAAGTTTGTCACCCTCGGATCAATACGGATCTCTGCCGTCTGATGCGATTCTTCTGCGACGAAGGTATCTGTGCCGCCGCCGCGTTTCGGATAGAAGGAAACCCTCACGCGATAATATTCGCAGAAGTTACTGTAGTTCATCGGCGAGCGGGTCCCAGAACGAGCCACATCACCATAGCGGTGGGATTCACCGGCGACCTCAGCTCGGTCAATCCGCTGAGGCATACCGCGATCTTGGCCTCACTGCACAAGTGGACGGAGCAAGTGTCCAACGTATGGCAGCACGTCCTCGCCCGGGAAGGGTATAACATCATCTCGACCTCTGCATCGGATCTTGATGGTATTCGCCGATCACCAAGCGAGCGGCCAATTGTGATTCCCATCCTCGTTCCCTTCCCCCATCCCCAATGAACCACGCCAATCTTCTCGCTCCTCTCTCTATCTTTGGTCTTCCCTCTCTCTTCCCCACCTTCTGGCAATCCGATCTTCACCCTTCTCTCTCCTTCTCATTCGAACCCCTTTCGGTCCCTCTTATCAATCCTGGACATTGGCGACTGTGGCGCGAGACTTTTGAGAAATTGTCTTTCTGCCTGGCCTGAGTACAAGTGAAGTGGACGGGCACTGTCGAGCACCCCACGTGGATCGAGAGTCCGGAGCTACTAATCATACAGGGTTGGAGGACTAACGCGGAAGGAGATCTTATCGGATTCCTCTTTGGCTTGGTACAACCGGGTCGCCGTCAGTTGATTGCACAGGAGCTCATCGCACCGATTGTGCAATTGGCGGATGACCTCTCGCCCGACATCTACTTTCAGAGTGACAACAGTCCTGCTCCGTACATTTTCGAGCGATCCTTGGACCCGTACCTTCAGTGGACTTCGTGCTTGGAGGAGCCTAGGGACGAGGATACGCTACCATCGTGGCAGGAGTATCTGAAGCCGTACGACATCATCCCTTACGCCTTCTACCTGAGGGCAGAAGAAGTGGTGGTCGACGACGAAGAAGACGACGACGAGGATACATTGGAGGAGGGAAGCCATAGTGAACATAGTTAGGGCAAGCTGAGTGAGGAGGAAGAGAAAGAAGAAGGAACCGGGTTCGAGTGGGAAGCCCCGCCGGCGGAAGCGACGCGTACGGAAACGGAGGCGGGAGATCTGGAAGCAGCACGAAGGCGCGAAGAGATTGCCTCCGGACAGCGTCAGCTAGAGTCCGCTGGCGAAGCCGGCCTGCGCATCGGTGGCAATCCGACCAGGGAGCTAGAGCCGCCAAGGCCCGAAGATGGCAGCCCTGCAGCCGCCACCTCGAGTACCGCGCGACGGAGACGGCGCCGATCCCCCTCCTCCTCCAGCCCCACCCGTCCCCCAGTTCGCCCACGTACCGATGCGGGCGATAGGCCTTCGTCCTCGGACGCTGTCCCGCCGGCCCCGTGATTTCCTCACCCTCGAGCAGATCCGTACCCCCGTCACCTTCTCTTCCCACCCTTTCCATCCCCATCTCTTCCGCGACTTCTACTCTACCCGCTTACTCGCCACCGTCCACCCCCACGCCTCCCTTCAGTCCGCTGCTCCCACATTCTGCTGGCATCTCCTGCTGTTCAGTGCTGCATGGGAGCGAAGCAACGTGGAAGAGGTCTACTTTGTTGCCACGGGGACAATCCCCGCCTGTCGCCACTTTGAAAGCTTTCGAGCGGCACTTTTCCGCACCCTCTCCTCCTTCTATCGCGATTACCTCGCTTTCCTCCCCCGCAGTGGCGATCATTTCCCCCGCTTCCACCGGATCATC